TGGGCCTGGAGTTTGTGCTTGTTGTACTAGAATTTTCGACCAAAGGATTATATATATATATATATATATATATATATATATATATATATATATATATATATATATATATATATGCCTTGGGCCCTTGAGTTGGGTTAGTAACTTGGACTTGAGAGTTGGGCCTCGGGAGAGCCCATTCATTATTGGGCTTTGGTGAGTCCAATGAGTTTTAGGTTAATGATGGGCTAGTTAGTGTACTACCTTTAGACCTAAAGAGTGAGGGTTTGGACTTAGATCTTAATTGGGTAATTATGGATCTTGGTCTAGTGTTAGAGGTCGGTGTGCAACAGCAGCATCTCTAGAAGCTGTTTATCATCCGAGGTAAGTCTTCTCACTATACTTACTATGAGTGGTTTCTTTGTGTGACTGAGATATCTTATGTGCTTATCTGTGTATTGCGATATTCTGCATTATGTCTTTGTGATTTATGTTGAGTATTATTATTATGAGCTTATTGAGTTAGGATCGGAAGGTCCACCCGAGTGTGGGACCGGAGGGTCTCCACCGGAACACATTGACCTGAGCGTCGTATTGAGTTAGACTAGAGTGGCTAACGTGATGTGTGTGGTATTTTGCGGAACTTACTAAGTTTCGTGTTTACCTTGTTATTTGATATGTGTCTCAGGTTCTTCTCAGGATCACGGGAAGGCACCGGTTCGATTGTACACCCTAGAGAAAAAGTTATGTTTTGAGGATCCTAGATTATTAATCAAACAATTATGGAGTTGCGTTTGTAAATTAAATAAATAGGATTTTTATGAGATATGTTATGAGAATTATGTGGTTTTACAATGAAAATTTTGGTTGAAAAGTTACGTCGTTACACTGTATATATCAAGTAGGATAGCTTGAGAACTTTTGATATAGGCTTTCTTGCCTATTCCTTGCTTGGTTGTGGCTTTAGAGTAGGATCATTTTTTCGGGTGGCTATCTCACCTCTGGTTACTTATGGTTACACATTCTTTGGAGGTTGGTTGGTAGTGGAGCAGTGTGATGTGAGGCGGTAGTGAGCTATATGATTGATAATTACATGTATTATGTGCCTAATTGATCCTTGATTGTTTATATATCGACTTATGGTGGTGGGTTAGGCTGAGGCAGTCATGTTCTGTGTTGTAGGCCAAGATACCAGGTGTGGTCCGACTGTAAGTCGTAGGCACAGAGGTTTGGAAAGAGCGGTTGGGTTGAGGTGGCATGCCAACATACCCGGGGTAATCCAATCTGATGATTGTGGACCCGATATGCATGCTAGTATGTTTGTTGTATGAGTATCTTGGGGAAACTCACTAAGCTTTATGCTTACCCAATTTTTTATGTTTCAAGTTCTTTCAGATCGTGGGAAGGTGAAAGTGGGACTATACACCCTCATCAGCAGCATTGAGAATTCCGCTTTTATCATATTACTATGATTTTTGATAAATGTAATTTGGAATAAATGGTTTTCTTAAAACAAGATTTATAATTGGGAAGTTTTTTATGATAAAAATGAAAACTTTTTTTTTGCGAAAATGGGACGTTACAAACCGATCTCGGCATATTGAGTGGTCGGCCCGGTGTTCAGCGAGTCCACTCTGTTTGGTCTTATATGGTAAGCAAGCAATGAGCAACCATTTCATTTAGAAAGAAAGTGTTTACAATGTGTGTGTTCACAAAACATAGAATTCATACACAAATAACAAAACAAGTCTTGAAGCTATAATGCTCCATCTTCTGAATCCCCAACACGAGCACCTGTCTAATAGTCTCCTGAGAATACAAGTTATTTGAAAGAGTTGATCAACAATTAAGTTGGTGAGTTCATAAGATTTTAGTGATGTGAGTAAGTTGTAAAGCGTTGTTGAAAATGTATATGTAAAAGTGATGTACTGTAAGTTCTATTTTGAAAAGTTCGCCTGTTCCTCTAGAAAATCATATATTTCCTACTTGAATGAAAGTTAAGTAAAATAACACTACAAGCCTTTCTATGGGTACTAAGTTGTTACAAGTTATTTATAACTCAGAGTAAACAAACAATCGATTGTGCGCATCTGCCCTAAGCTCACAACCCAACGGGGAACAGAAAGTAAGGCGGATAGCACACATTCCATTGGTTGTTAGATAATTGTCATAAATAACCCTGGTGTAATCACTTATTACTCATGGAGTTATTTGTAATGGTTCCTTTATATCTAATGAAAAGTCCTATTAAGAAAACTTATATTTCTTATAGTAAAATATTGACCTCAGTGACTACTTTTATAATAGCTTTGTTTATACTGTTGTATATAATTTGATATCGAGTAGAAAGTTAATTGAGTAAATCTGCCCTAAGTCCACAATCCAACAGGGAACAGGAGGTAAGGTGGAAAACACACATTTAACTGCCTATTGGGTATTAGTTTTATATATCAACATGGTGTATAAACTAAGGTATTATAGAGTTACTCACATAAAGTCTTTTAGAATTGTACTAACTTAATAAAATGGATTAAGCCCTTATCTGAGATATCTCTAGTTTGTATAACAAAAGTACTGACTTTGAAAAGTAATTTTTGTACTATAAAAACTGTGCTTCGACTTTGTGTCCTATAACCTGATCCATACCTAGTACCCTTATGATGACTTAATGTATACTAAGCATAAATATATATAGGATCGGGTAGATAATAGATTGAGTGAACTTGTTCCAAGTCCCCAACCCAACGAGGATAGGACATGAAGAGAAGAGCACACATCCTATCAGCTGTCGGAACCTATTGATATATATATATATATATATATATATATATATATATATATATATATATATATATATATATATCCTATGATGTATACATTAAGGAATCATAAGTCTAGCATTATGGTCCTATCCTTTAATCATAGCATTCTACCAAGGCATCTTCTGTTCTGTGCTAGACCCGACTGTTCCTTTGTCGATTTGTAAAATGTATATTTCCCTAGTTTATAACTATCTTGACTAGAAAATAGTTCAACTTTCAAGTGGTAGTGTCACTTTATGAAAGTAATGGGAAAGTAAGTACACAGATGTCGTTTATAATGACATACGGATGTACTAAATAACCTAAAAACATATTTGTTTTATTACGGTCATAATGTGAAGGCTAGAACCCCTACTAAACGCTCTCCTTGTCAATAGATTTATGGAACCAAACGCGACCCCCGCAATTTCTTGCAAGCCATGTAATTCACATTAAAGTTATATGATCATGTATACCCAATATAACTATCACCTTTTGTTTAAAACAATGAGTTAGTGATTCATTGGTATAATTAGATCCTGTTTGTGTGTTCTCATGCTATAGCAACCTAACTTGTTTGTTATGTTCTGTTTTGTTTTGTAACCCTTTACTACATGTTCTGTATGATATTGTTTGATTCTCTTCACTGTTTGTTTGATTCTTGCATGAACTGACTCTTTGTGTGCTTCATTGTACTAGAAGTAATGAATAGTATTTTCCTAAACTATGCTTATTATAGTTTACTAATGTTCTACATGTACTGTTATTGAAAAGACTCATTTATCTACTAAGTTATGCTTGTACTTTAAAAACGGAGTTTTGTGTAACTATAAAGTAACATAACTTTAAAGAGTTTTGAATTGTATTGACAACTTATAATTAACATAAGTAACATTTTGAAAGATGTTTAACAACAAACATTTACACAATTATCATTGTGTTCAACTTGTATTCCCCCCCCCCCCTAAACAATTTAAAACAGTTAAAAGATTCATTATGGGGTATGAACTCACCTGATGTGAGTGATTCAAACAGGTATGCGCATACGGATGAGAAGTTCCACGAATGAAGTCCCGAGACACAACAAGTCCTAAATGACATATAAGGACACATATTGACATGAATATAGTGTTTATAAACAACTATATGAAAGGAAACACCTTCCGGGACTAGGAAACACCTTGGTTAAGTGTTGGAATCACATGTGATTCATCAAAGGGAAGTGGAATGACCAAATCATGAGTTTAAGGTCTTGTGACCATCACTCATTGAGTAAACTCATGAGTTTACGGTCGTAAACTCATTACTCTTTGACCATTTTGAGTTCTGAAGCCTTCAAAGTCATACTAAGCAATCATACTTCATGGTTAAGCCTTAGGAAGTGTTTAGGGCAACATATCACTCCTTTATAGGGTTTATGGTTTTTGGACCTTTTAACTTTGGGTTTACGGTCGTAAACCCAAATGGTTTATGGTCAAATGATGTTTTCAAGTTTTAAACACTTCAAGGTAAAGGTCTAGGCTAGTTTCTAGGCTTAAGGAAAGAGTTTGGGGCATCAAAACATGCATTTGAGGTGTTTACGGTTTTGGGAGGTTTCCCAAACCGTAAACACATCAAAATGGGGTATTTTGGTGACTTTTATGTGCTAAACATATCAAGGTAAGGTTCTAGGTTTGTTTGCAAGGTTTGCAAGGACATAGGGCACACTTTGGCACCATATTTAGTGTTTACGGTCCAAGAAGATCTTGGGCCGTAAACACCTTGTCCTTGTGATTTTTGGAGGATTTCAATGATATCTAGGCATGTAATACAATTTAATACACTCTAGGGTTGAAGTACTTACAATTAGGGGCGAACGGTTGAAGATCCTTGGGAGAGAAATCGGGTTTTCTCTAGTTGAAATGGAAGAAATGAACTAAAAATGGCTAAGTCTTACTTATATAGCCTTTAGGGTTTACGGTCCCAATACCATTTTGGACCGTAAACTCCAAACTCTTGAAGTTTTGGGCACGTATTGCTACATAATAAACCCTAGGGTATCCTCTCTTCTGATATCTCTTGATGTACTAACTTTAAAATACTCAAACTTATCCCAAAAAGTTCGAAAGTTAGCAGAATCCGTTTTGACTCTTATTGAAGTGAATGGTTGTACAGAAAAGAAATTTCGGGTTGTCATACGAGTGATGCGCATGTGACTGACTACTTCAATAAAAATACAATGAACTGCCATGGTTTTTATATATGTATGGTGGGAACCCAACTTATTTTTCCAGCTCTTTACAACCTCATTATGTGTTGGTATATTAGACATTGAAAAGTTTTGTTCCCCATCTACATGGAACTATAATATTTGTATAACCTACTCAGTATACAACAAGCACATCGGGAGATGTTAATATGTTCTAAGAAACAACATAACTAAAGTTAATATCCACAAACTCGTCCTTCTGATTCAAGTATGAAGGAAAAGAGTTTTTCATGAGCGAATATACTCTTTTTGAGTCATTGCAAATATTTTCGCGTTTAACGGGCATAAATGCATAATCCTCTTGTATTCCTAGTATTCATCTTTTGTCCAATCTTTCCTTGTTTCCAATGTGACTATTGACGTGATTTCCAGCTTCTTAATATATGTCAACCGCTAGCTTTTCCATATATGATTGGTCAAAATGCTTGTAGGTTTTCTTGTAAACATATCATTGGTTGTTTCCCCCATCAATTTGTTATCTAAAAACTCTTCTGTTATCTCATTTTCTCCTTGATCTGACCCCCACCCCATGATATCCGATATTGTCGTAGGTGTTCCGTTCGGAGTTTTGTTCCCCTGAGTTTGATCTGATGGTGATGATTTCGTGTTGTTTTCCGATGAATTTTGTGCCAAGTCATCTGCATAAAGTACATCCTCTATACGGTTCATCACCGTGTTCGCCAAACTCTCTAATACCCGTGAATAGCTCTCCAAAACCGCAAGGCCGACATCCTGTTTAAAAAAACCCGTAAATTTATGGTTTGGTTATTGTCAGCAGTCAAACAGACATAAAGATATATGTTCGACTGTTGACAAATCTTTAGCCATTGAACAAGAACAGGAGAACGAAATATGCGGTTTTTTAGTGTTCATACTCTATTCGACTCGATTTTGCAGATGTCTAGTGACGATTGAGGAAGTCCCGGGAAGCGTTGTTTGATAAGGATTAAAATAGTTTCAGCTCTCTCTTCGAAAAGTTCCCTCCTTTCCATTTTTGCAGATGCACCCCATGAAGATCTTGACTCTTTTTGATGCATTTTTCTCTTCCATATGACCACCGAAGCTTCCATTTTGTTCTTTAGATCAAGTATTTTATGTTCTGATGACAAGTCCACAGATGCTAGGAATTGCCCTGGGTCGAAGAACTCGACTGTAAGGCTCTTATAAGTCACATCACCCAGGCTATCTCGAGCATTCTGTAATCATTTTCAATGCATTAATATATTGTTTCATTTATCATGTCAGCACTCAATCAAGATAACATTACGGGTTTAATTGTTTATGAAAAAATGGACAAAAGAATTACTTATTTTGTAACCTTAGTCAAATCGTTTTTGTTAACACTAAAACCAAGTAGGGAATAGAAAGGAAGAGTACCATGTGTACATACACGGTGTACAACCCATGAAGCTAACCACTGAAACATTGAAGCTAACGTCTGCAAGAATGGAAATCGATCATAGATGCTTTCGGTCTGTTTAAAAAATGTAGGCAGTTCAGCTTTCCAGGGTTGTACACGTTGCATATTTAGTTGTATCCTTCATGTATTATGGGTTATACCTTAGGGAGAGTTTCGATATAATTCTCAGGAATCTCCATTTCTCCAAGAACTTCAGCATTTATAGCCATGGAAGCTTTCAGAACTTGATTCGCGCAATCTTTTTGCTTCTGCATCCATTTTCTTGATTCTTCCGACAACCCTCCCGGAGGAACCTTCACCGTTGGTAGCCACCATTTATCGTTTCTTTGCACTCCTTTTTCTGATTCATTCGCATCTTTAGATACATACCAGAATTCTTTTTGATCCTTGAAATTGTCTAAACAATCCTGAAACATATAAACAACTTCAATAGGTTTACTAAAACGGGTGAAATGAATAAATATGGAGATTTCAGGAGTTTGGTATCATTACAGTGAGCATCTTGTCAAGCTTTTTTAGAGCAGGAATGTTCATGAGAAGATCTTTTCTTTGTTTCGTCACCATAATCTGCATGTCTGAATTGTATATTAGGAAACTTAGCTACAAAAACACACACTAAAACATGCACACACATTATTAGGACCTCCATATTTGATCCATCTCTTGCTGTGTGTTGAACGGGAACAAACTCGACGATATGATCGGTGATCGATAGTAGCCAATCTACTTCTTTTCTCCACCTCTTTTTTGAATCTTCTTTCATTGGTCCTAGTTTATGTTGTTCCCCGAACACCGAAGCTACAGATTTCCCACAAAAAGATGAAGAAAAATGATTATGTTTTAACGAATTAACTTGTAAACTATTCGGATTCATTACCAGCAAGATTTGTAATGGCATTCGTTAGAGCCAAAGCTGATGAAACACCCTTTCCTCCACCTGACATATCCTCTCCTAAAAGCAGCTTAGAAAACTTTTCTCTCATCTGTTCTAGATCTATAGAAAATAAAAACAATTTTGTTTAGAAATAATCAGCGAGGGAAACATGAATTTGTTAAAAGCTTACCCGTTTTTGGCTTTTCCTTAGCGGTTTCTGGTTTTGTACTGTTTTCTAAATCTGATGTGCTTTCGGTCGATTTAACATCTGCAGATTGTTCCACAACCATCGTTTCTTTCTCAGGGACTTCCGATGTTTTCTCTTCTTCGGCCATTTTCTTACAAGTTCTGCTTTTCTTTGGATTTTACCAGAGATTAATCAAGGGATTATGCATGGTTTGAATCTATACAAGCCTATAAAAACAATAAAAACCCACTTTTCTTAAAGATATTAGTGGGAAATTTCTAAAACATATTTTTGGGAAAAAAGAATGCATTCTTGATTGGTTGAATGGCAAGAATTTGTTTTTTTGATCGTTTTTTGTGTTTGTTTCGTCCCATTTTTTTGTTTGTGGTCTTTCTAATTTTAGAAACCTCATGGAGCTCTTCAATTTGTGGGGTGCATGTTTTTATGAAACACAAGTTTGTGTTTCTTGAATGGATGGTTTTTCTATGTGTCATCAATTGTTTGGCTACCCTACCCGACATTTAGGAACACAAAATTAAGGTGTTTCAGAATTATTTTGTGAAGGGTACAACAATCCAATTGTAATTTTAGTTTCTAATTAAGGTTTTTTAGAAAGGCATAAATGGGTTAAAACTAGCAATTGGAGATAGATCAAAATTACAAAGTTATAGAAAGCAAAAAAAGGACCATGCAACCATTCAATCCAACTAGAGCTATACTTTTTACTTCTATTATTACTAATAATAAAAAAACAAAAACGAAACTATCATAAAACAACCTTGGTATTTTGGGTTTTTTTATTGCAAAAATCAAATTGTTACGAAATTTCCATAAGACCCAAATTGTTGTAATTATGACTGCATCAAAATATTTCTTTTGTCCACTATTGAGCTTCAGGCGATTCGTCCAATTGATCAAAGAGCCCAAAGTCGAGACAAGAGGACACACAATACCCCCACCATGTTGTAATGAGCTTCCAAATGTCCACAACTCCGAACAAAAAAATAATAATAAGTGGCTAACGGTTTCCATAGCCAAACCACAAAATAAGGCACATAATATATTCTAGATCAATACCTTTGTTCGAAAGGTTATCATGGGTGAGAATCAATAATCATATTCAATAAAACTCCTCAATGTAAGATGTTCAGTTTCATGGGAACTAAACTGTTTCATCTAATAGCCAACTCACTACTGGCCAAAGTAACACTATTGATGAAAGCTCTAGCCGCAAGATCGTGAACACCCCCACTAAATTTAGGGCTGTAAACAAACTGAACGTTCGGCGAACCGTTCGTGAACTGTTTGGAAGTTCGTTTATTTAATAAATGAACGAACATGAACAAAAATTATCATTCGTTTAGTTAAACGAACGAACATGAACAATGGTCTCGTTCGTTCATTTATGTTCGTGAACGTTCGTTCGTTTAAGTTTATTTATATTCATCTATATTCAATTATTTTTTATGATATTGCTATATTATATGTTCGTTTATATTCATATATATTCAATTGTGTTTTTTTATCTTTATTCGTTTATGTGCGTTTAGCATGTTCAAGAACA